GGTCCTCTGGGAGAATACTATTGCCCTTCTCTTAATCACTCCTTTCACTTAAGGTTCCTGGACAAGTGCTCCTCCACATACCACTTTGATCTTCCGGTCCCTCCACCTTGCCTACAAACCAGCCCCTTGCCCTCCCTTCTACTCTCCCTTAGCTACTCTTGTTGTTCCTTGGGTAGATTCAGTAGTCTTCCCAGTCTCTAGTTGTTACTCAACACAACATGGAATCATTCACCAGCTCAATCAGTGAGATGTCTTCTCAATGTCTGGAGCTAGGCTCCTGTCCCCATCCCGAACTTCACTGTTCCCCAACCCTCCCCTCCCAGTTTCCATCCATTTCCTTTTCCAAGTTCCATCCTTGTGACCCTCCTTTCCCTGCCAGTTCCTTAATAAACAGCCTGGCACAAAATGTGCATGCTTGGAACAATGGTCAAGGCTCTAAGAGCATGTGTTCCTCCCTGCCGTTTGCTATCCACCCCGGTTTTTTCTTCAAGCCAAACCTTGCAGGCTGAACTGAGCACTCTTAATTGCCTTCATTCCAACTCTGAGATCACCCTCTTCTTGCTCCCTATTGTTTTCTAGCCTGTACCACTTCCACCCCCATTTTCTACTCTCCATCCTCCCTGGGGCATCCTTTAATCTTCTGTGTGTGATGTTCCTATGCATTATAGTACCCTCTACAGCCACATCCTTTTTTGATACTTTTTGGCTTGTGACCTGTTTCTCCTCTGCCTCCTTGGTCAAGGGTAGGCTTCATGGCTCATCTCTTTGACCTGTATGTCTCTCAGCAACCTAGTCCCTGCCATGTCATCATATTTACTTTGTTCTTCATAGGGGTCTGCTCCCTTCTTAGACTTGCTCTTCTACTCAATCTCTCTACCTCCCTCTCTCACCTTCTCTTGTTCAGCTGTTCATTGTCACTGGTCTGAATTTTCCATTTATTCCACCTCTTCCTTTCATTAGATGCCTTCTTCATCTCGCCCATGCCAACCTTTCTCTTTTCTCTAACCCCTTTCATTTACTAGGCTGATGTAAAATTCTATCCAGTCCTGCCACCGCTTGCTCTTCTTTTCTCACCTCCATTATTTGCATATGCCCTCTAAGAGGTACCATAGAGAATACAACCCTGCCTGTCACACTGACAGCCCCTGTGGCCCTCTGGTGTTGCTGCTTTTTTCCTTATTACCATATGACCATTTTACCTTCACTTTAAGACATTATTTTTATGTAGGTAGCATCCACACCCTCTTTTTCATGTCCTCCATCACCCTCTAGATAAAGCCTGTAGAAGAAAAGCCCCCATTCTATCTATCCCTCAACCCTTGTGTTCTGGGCCAGGCTCCTTCCGACTGTGCCCATTTGCTACTAACCTAACCTCTACCTCTAAACCCATGACACCATACTGGGTTGGAAGGTTCTCCCCAACCCAGGCTTCACTAAGTCCCCTTGAACAGCAGAAGAACAGATTCAGTAGTCACTGTGAAATGCCTGTCACACATTGATTCCCAGTTCCTCTTCTGCCATTTGCAAGCCTCTTTCTCTTACATACTGAACTCACTCTGCATGGGTCCACTCATGTCCCTGAGGTACTTATAGTGCTGTCTGTGTAGGACCCATCTTAAAGTGCAACACCACCCAGTTTCTTCTAGTTAACCTGAGTCCCTTTGGCCCCCCTCCCTACTTCTTCCTAAGGGCCCACTTCTACAAGTGCTTCTCTTCCCTGCTTTGCTCTTACAGTGGACATTGATACCATTCATCATACCCACTTATTCCCTGAGATCTGCTGATGCCCTTGGTTTGGGAACTAAACATGCATTCCATGTGCCCCCTTTTTCATATTGGCGTCTTCATGTATATTGAAGCCAATAAAGTCTCATGAAATTATCTCATGATCAAAGTGCCCCTTTTTTTCCCCATCACTCCCTGGACACAACTTGAAACCCTCATATTTCCTTCCAGTAGCACTCCGATTTCAGTGTCTCTCATTCCACCTTTGCCAAAACATCCATTGTTTTGGGAAAACAAAACATCTCCTACTTTACTTATCCAGGGACCCTCTGCTTCCTCCTCAATATCCAGTCATAATTTCCCAATACCTGCCAGTCAGTCCACGGACTCAGGAGTCCCTCCTTCTTTTTCTGTTCCCTTATTGATCTGCCCTCACTGCTGCCATATGGCCAGCCTCTTGGTGCCCAGTATGCTTTTATCACTTCATCTGCCATCTGAATATACCACTAACAATCCTAGTCTCTCAATTCCACTTTAGGAGAGACATTCATTTTGGTCTGAGACTTGTGAACCCTGTGAGCTTTCATCATTTGCCATGCCTTTTATTGATACTAACATTTCCTATATGTCAAAATCACTTCAACCTCATTACTTTTGGCCTCCTTGTACCTCTCCTTCATGTCTTACCAGTGCCATGTTCTTTTCTGCTTGCCTTTGCTCACCCATATTCATCACTTTCTCTCCCTTCTCAGTCCTGATGCGCCTTTCTTGGTGCAGTACTTCCCCAATCTCTCAACAGCCTTCTCCTCTCCCAGATGCTGGGCTCCTTCCTCTGCTTTCTCATTCTTCTTGCCCACTGCTCTGCAACATGTGTAAACCCCTCACCTCCTCTGCCCTCTCCTGGGCCCAGCTGATCCTTTCTCCTGCTTTTGTCTCTACTGCATAGGGAGGGCCAGTCATCTCCTCCCCATCTGCCATTCTTTCAGCTGCCATCTGTGAATCAGCTGGCTGATCCAGTAGTCCTCCTGTGTGTGCACACCCTTTTCGACCTGCCCTTCACAACCACTGCTCCCCCACATTCAGTGAGCTTTGCATCACAAAGATTGAACCAGACCTCCATGTTCTACCCAGCAGTCCCTGTGGCTGCAGGCTGTGGGTTCTATTTGGAGCTCTGGGTCCATGAGTCCCTGAATACTTTCAGGTGGCCTTTCACATTCTTTCTTTCACATTCTGAAAAGGCTCTTAAGAAGCATCTCCTGATTCACCTACCTTGTTCCTGCCCCCCCCCCACACACACACACACTTGTCTCCTGCCCTCACTCCTGCCCTGCACTTGCCACTATATCCCAGTGCACACACCCCCATTCTCAGGCTGACTTGACACTGGGCCCAACAACAGTGTCTTCCTGGACACTGCCATCCATCCCACCCACTGCCTCTGCTCTTTCTTTACGTTGTCCGCAGTCAGCTCCTCCATGAGCTCACCTTCAGTGCTGGCTCCACTCCCCTTTGCCTCTTCCTTTCCTGTGTATTACCTGCCTGCTCCTCTCTGCCCACACCCACACATCGTCCTCCTGTGTGCCACCCACCCTTCTCAGCCTCACTTCCACCTCAGTCCTCAGCTGGAACCACACTGTTGTTGCTGCTGTCCCTGCCCTTGGCAGAAAATCCCCACTCAGCCTCCATCCTCCCAGGTGCCTCCCTGCTTCATCCATTTCTTTGGTCTAATGGGCCTTTCCTCCCATGATTGACAGTCATATCTCTGATGCCTCCACCTACTCTGACTCACAGGTGTCAGGTGCTCACCCTCCCATCTCTCCCCCATTTCCTTTCTCCCCCCTCCACCAGTGATTCCCACCCGGGGATGCTCGACACCCAGGTGGCCTATCAGAGTCATCTTTGGGTCAGTTTGTTGTTGCTGTTTCTGTTTGTGAGCAAATCAGTGCTCCCCCTGATGCTCTGATAGGCCTACCTGGGGGCCGTGCCCACAGCGCCCCCCCCTCGGGTGGAATCCACCCCCCCCACCCCCCGGTTAAGAATCACTGGTGTGGACGCCACCTGTACTCTCTGGACTTCACTTTCCCATCTCCTACCTCCACCCTTCTTCCAGTGCTGACCACTGAAGGTCCTCTAGGATCTCAGCACTTCCCCCTGTGATGTAGACCCGGCATTTTCCTCTTGGATTCACCCCATTTTCCCTCCCTGTTTACTCTCTGATCTAGGACCTGACCTATCTCCTATCTTCATCAGTGTTGTTATTTTAAAAGCCTGTCTTCTACTTTTAATGCCTTGCCATCTGGATATGTTTCCCTGAATTCCTGATCAATCTTTGATCCCAGTCTTGGCCTTGTAAGATTTTACTGTTATCTCTTTTCCTCTATCTCTTTCCAGTGAGAGATGGGGTGCTCCTCCAGAGCTTATCCCTTTTGTCTTCAAAACCTCTACTTACCTTTGCATTTCCTTGCATTTTACCTGAAGTTACTCTCTTACTTTTTTCCATGGAAACACTTGTCTTTTTCCTGACTGTATTCATTACCCTCAGCACTAACTGGCGGAATCCTCTACTGCCACACTCCAAGAAGATTGTTTTCTAATTTTCTACAACTTGTCTCATCTCCTTCTGCTATACCCACCTACCACCATGCCCCCCCCAATTCCAAACCCCTCTGCTTACAAACCCTGCCTTATCAACCCTGATCCAAACCAGAAATCCACCTCAGCTCTCTCTCTCCCTTTTCAGACTCATAATAAAAACCTGGCTCAAACAGTCAATAAAGAGCATGGGCAATGATTTACATCGTGCCCTAATGTTGAGGGCTTTACAGCCCATGTTCCTTGCTTCCTGTGTTATGTACCCTTTTTCTGTGTTTGCTTCCCCAAACTGAGACTTGTTTGAGTACTCTAAGTGCCTTCTTTCCAACTGTGGAACCACCCTCCTCTCCTTGCTCCTCCTGTTGCTCTCTGTATTGTCTCACTTCCACCCTGCTTTCTGGGTTCCATCCTCCACTCTCTGCTTTTTCCACCCTATCTTCCATGGGGTATATCTCCTCCTGCAATGCATTATTGTCCTATAGTCCCACAGTTGCTTACCAGTTATATATGTCATACCCATTTCTTCTTTTTGCATCCTTGATAAAGCAGTTTTCCTTCTTCACTGTGCCCATATTTTTCTCAAGTACCCTGTGCCTGACACTTTGAGGTGGTCCCATTTCTGTAGAGTTGTGTGCACACTTCTTTTACCTACTCTCACAATTGCAATTCTTTCCAACCTCTCTCTCGTTTTCTCTCATGGAACAGTTGGCTGTCACTAATTTGGAATTGCCGTCATTCTGGCCTTCACTTTACTTTTTTAGGCTGTCTTTTCCTTATCCATTCCACTCCCACATTTCTTCCTCTTCTCTCTTCCTGTTACAACAAGTTAGTTCTCACAAAACTCTACAGACTCTACAGGCATCCTGGCATTTCATTCTCTTCATCCTTTCTTTGCCCACATCCCTTCCATTTCCCACCACAGACCCCACCAAAGAAATGCACCCCTGCCCATCAGAGTTGCTCTCTATCTACCATATGAGGCTGTCCATATCTCTCTCTTCTCATTTTCTCTCTTTTCAACCCTGTCTACACAAGAGCCATATTCAGATATTAAGACCATCTTCTTCTAAAGGGACCACTCTCCATCCTTAGTGCCGGTCAACTTCTCTCATCATCTGATCAAGCCTCCCAAAAAGGAAGAATTTATACTGCTAACATACCCTCACCTGTCCTTGTTCTCTCCAACTGTGTCAAATATCTGCTTCTCTAAATTTCTTCCTCTAATTTTGCACTTCCACAGTTCACCATTTCTCTCACCCTTACCCCCTGCTCAGCTACTGTAGTATACTGCAAAGATATGTGCCCACTAAATCTCCATTCTTTCATCAACCTGGAACTGTGGAAGCACAGACTTACTGATGATGACAAAACATCTTCTCTGCATTTGTTCCTTCCCACCTCGCTGGCACTTCAGGTCTTTTCCTTTCCACAAACTACATTCAATCTACATGAGTCCATGTTGTTACCTGCCAGTGTTGTCTGTAAAGGAGCCATCCCAGTGCGCAACACTGTCCAACTTCCTCTGTTGAACCCAAGTCACACTGACCCTTCCTGGATTCTCCATGTTCTGTCCTTCCATTGTGCAGTGCCTTTCCTATTCTCTCAATAGCCCACTCTTCTTCCATCTTCTGGATTCCTTCTTTGGCTCTGTCTCATTCTTGCCTGGTGGACCTCCATCTGTCATGCTCTGCCAATGTGTTACAAATTCCTCACTTCTCTCCTCTGGGCCCAGCTGAGGCTTTCTATTCATTTTTCTCTACTTCATAGTGAGGTACAATCATTCTTTCATCTGACAGATTGTGTAGTCCTCTTATGTGTACTCCTATCTTGACCTTCCTCCAAAGGGCCTCATTCTGCAAATGCCCAAGCTTTTTTTTCTCTTGGCTGTCCTGTTCCTGTAGTCTGGTCTAGATACCCTACCCTACAAGGCACATTTTTGCCCTATATTACAACAGACCTGTTTGGAAGCTCTGCATTTCTCTGTCCTCTCTTACATATTGGATCGGTGACCAATGAAGAGTACCCAAAAAACTCCTGAGGTTTCTCTCGTTGTACTCACCTCCTCTCCACATTTCATGTTAACCCATTTGAACAAAGTCAGGACTTATATGTGCCTTTTGATGGATGCCAGACCCCAAGTCTTGCCTTCTTTACTGGATGTAGATTTGTACTGATACAACCCATATTCTGCATTTTCTCCCAGAGACCCTGTGCTTTCTCATAACGTCCAATTGTACCTTCCCTGCCACCTCCTAATCAGTCCATGAACTCAGGAGTCTTTTCCTCTGTGTTTGACCCCTTCCTGAATTCCTGCTACCATTGCCAGCCTTTTGTTCCTAGTCAACTCTCCCAAGTCCATCTGTTATCTGAATTCACCCCTGATAATCCTACCATTTCAGTTCTGCCATATTAGATATCATTGTTTTCTGTCACAAATCCATCCATTAAACTTTCAGCCTTTCACCAAGCCCTTCATTATCACATGGTTCACATTTCCTAGGTGCCCATGGTCCCTACAGCCTCATTCTCCTTTGGCCTCCTCACACCTCTCCTTTGCCCCTCATTTGTCTTACCCATGCCATACTTTTTCTCCTTAAGAAACATCATGAACACTGTCTCCTTTTGAGAATACAGTTCCTGGATTCTCCATGTTCTGTCCTTCCGTTGTGCAGTGCCTTTCCTATTCTCTCAATAGCCCACTCGTCTTCCATCTTCTGGACTCCTTCTTTGGCTCTGTCTCATTCTTGCCTGGTGTACCCACATCTGTCATGCTCTGCCAATGTGTTACAAATTCCTCACTTTTCTCCTCTGGGCCCTGCTGAGGCTTTCTATTTATTTGTCTCTACTGCATAGTGAGGTACAGTCATTCTTTCATCTGAGAGATTGTGTTGTCCTCTTATGTGTACTCCTATCTTGACCTGTCCACAGGCCCCTGCTCTACCACATTCAATCATATTTACATCACATAAACTATACCAAATTTGTGTGCTCTACCCAGCAAGCGTACACTTATGTCCCTGTGGCCCCAAGCCATGGGTTCATTCTGACTCATCACAATCATAGTTCCTGTAACCTTTCTAGTGTCCATTCAGAAACAAATTCTAAAAACATGCTGGGGATTTGTGCCCCAATTCGCCTACCACTCTTGTCCCCACATGGCTTTTGTCCTCGGCCCTCTTCCTGATCCATACATGCCCATAACATACCAACAAATTCACCCACTCTCAACCTGACTTGCCACTGGACCTTACAACTCTCTCTTCCTAGACACTCATCCCACCCATCGCCTCTGTTCTTTCTGTTCCTCGTCCGTAGTCAGCTCCTCCATGAGCTCACCTTCAGTGCTGGCTCCACTCCCCTCTGCCCC